CGCCAATCATGACATCTGTAGCTCGTTTAATACCATCAATAAGACTTTCACCACATCCATAATAATTATCAAATTTTGATTTTGTTACACTATCATTAACATTAATGACTGGAACTTTTAGTTTATTATTGTTGAATAATATACGTAATTGTGTTGTGCCAGCTGTTGTTTCTTCACTAATACCATGCATAAAACGTGTTAAATGTGGATATTTTTCATGTATAAATCGTGTTAAAACGCAACCATCATCTAAAATAGCATTTAATGGTTGACCATCAGGAAAATAGATTGTCTAGAAGAGAAATGGAAGTCGATTATATGGATAACTATAAATCAAAAGCACAATGCAGATGCGAGACAATGACTGTTGCTTATATAGAACAGCTGAACAACTATTTTATTTAAACTAGGCATTGAATTTATACCAAAGATTGCATTTTTGAGAGAAATCACATCGATCAGTAAACTTTTTCTTAGAAAATTTTTAAACTTCTTTTCTTATAATATAGTGTAAATCCATGAATTTGTAAAAGAAAATGTGCTGATTTACCTGATCTATACACCATAATTTTTCTTCTTCAATTTCATCTTTCCATGCATAAATCGATATACCATTTTTAACTAATGCAGCTGCTACATGATCTTGTGTTGATAATGGATTAGAAGAACTCCATTGAACCTATTAGAGAATAAACATATTTTATGAATTTCAAAATAAAATAAGGAAATAATTTACTTGTGCACCCAATTCACATAATGTTTCAATCATTACTCCAGTTTGTGCTGTTAAATGTAAAACATCCAGCGAGGCAAACATCTTTCAATGGTTGTTTTGAACCATAGATTTTTCTCAATCGCATGACTCCTGGCATTTCAGCTTCAGCCATTGACAATGCTTTTTTACCTGATTCAGCTAGATTAATATTGGCAATTTTATACGGTACTTTTTTAATACTATCAATAAATACAAATGAGTTTATTAATTTTCCACATAGTCTGAAATTTTCTATTGATTCGGCTTTAGAAACAAGCGACATGCATTTTTTTTATCTATGTTTATACAATAGACAAATACAGCTGATAGTGTCTTGTAAAAGGGATCTTTTTCCTATAGACTTACCCCAATTTTGTTCACTCAATTGACGGCGAAAATGTTTTGTTCCAGTGGGAGTTAATATGGATAACATTGATGAATTCTCTGATTCTTCTTCTTCTTGCTGTATACGTTCTATATTTAAACTGAGTTTTCGTTTCGAAAACATGTTTTCTTGTATTTCTATAAAGCGAAGAAAAAAAACAAAACAAAACTTTGATTTTTCTAAAAACAAATATGGACAAAGCGTACATAAGAAGACTAATTAACTATACTTGACAAAGAATATTGTATAAATAAACGGGCAAGATTCTTGTGGTAGCTTGTAACTTGTATTGGATTGTTTTTTGGAACACAAATAAACTTCATGTTTTAACTTGAACTTTCTATAAGGTCATCTGTTTCATATTTGGTAAAAACCGCAACTTTTACTTGCGTGGGAGAAAAAAACGGAAGAAAACAAATATCATCATGTTTTTAAAAAATATCTAGAAATTGACGTCACATTCTATTTTCAAAATTTGTCGATAGTCATATAACTGTAAAATTTTGTCATCAAAAAAAGATTTATTTTGTTCTTCCTTTATTGCAGTTATGAATGCAATCAAATCATGACGTAAATAAATAGTACTGTTGAGATTCGAAGAAAATTTATAAAAAATAAAATATACAATTAGTAAAACAACAACAACTACAAATTAATTTCATCATATAAATTTCATTACGGACTGTTTTTGAATAAACTAGCTTCTAAGAGATTCAAATTAGGGTCTAAATTTTTTTTGTTCTTCTTCTTTGATTAAATATTCAATGTATTGAATCTGATTTTTATTTGTTTTCAATCCACATAATTATTATTGTGACAATAGTAACTATAGAAACAAAATTTCATCATTAAATTCACAAGTGGTTCGGGATTATATGACGTCCAATTGAAGTGAATTTAATTGGTGGTATTATATTTGGCTTTTCAGTTTTATTTAATATGAAGGACATTTTTTTATGGTTTCTTTTTGTGTATAACTAATTTTAGCATGCATTCGTATGAAACTGTTAATTAGAATCCTTTGTATCATGTTGATTGACTTGGGAATCTGGATTGAAGCTTCGATTGATCATATCCGTTGCAGCATTTACTGTGGTGATTTTCATTAGAGACAATATCTGATTGTGACGTTCTGTAGAAATATAATTGCTGTTGTCTGAACCGACACTCAAATGAGCATAAGATCCACATTGGTTGATCTTCTTCTTGGGTCTCCAATCCTGTCTGGGCGAGTTATCCGCTGTAAATGCTGCTAAGTAACGTAACCTTTTCTCATGATCTTCACACATACTGGAGTCTTCAGTCTATTAACTCGGAAAGAGAGATAATGCAACAAGAATATATCAACATATCAATCTCTCAGCACCAAGAATTCGATATTCTCGAATGTAGTTGAACACAAAATAGACAGGAATTGGAATCACACAAAAATCACAGAAAAACCAGCCTAATATAGTACTCTATGTCGGGTACACGTATTCTGGGAATCCAGCGCTGGCTTTGCTCGTCAGCGTAGTGCTATTTAACAACTTGGCAACAGTGATTATCTAAAAATACAATAGTCAAAAACGAATGAGAAAACCATGGGGTACTTGTCTAAGAAAATTGTTCTCGTGAACCATTTTTAAATTAAAATTGAACATGACTGCAGCGGTATCATCATATATCCTGATCAAATAAGTCCAAAAACGCATGTATCAGAGCGTCAATTTCAATTCTGATTTCTCTCAATATAAATTGACAGAAATTCGTGCATGGTTCTACACGTAGCAACGTTTTGAACACGAAATCAAAAGAAGGATCGTAGCATTATGCAATGCCGGATGTATGAAGTATCAAATTATTAGATCATTCTTAGAACATTCCCCTGAAGTAATTAAGAAAAAAGTACTATCAAAGTCGATTAATTACTTCTACGGCTGAGGTCGGATCCAAATATATTTTATCTTCCAGTTAAAATATACGATTACATAGCCGATCAAGCAAGAAAGCTCATATTGAACATCATTACTTGATTTTCTTGCCTTACAACCAAGAAACTACGCTTGCTCACTAGTCAACCAAGCATCAGATAGTTCCGAGCTATTATTCGTATTCATTATATACCGAGTATTCCTGACTTACCAGTGTGAGAAGTGGAGCTATGATGCACCATGTGATAAACAAATAGCATTCAGCTGTTCGTTTGCCCAACATCATTTTGATATCATTCATAAATTGATTGAATCCTAAAAATATGTCTTTTGTATTTTGAAGGAATAATCTTGATAGTATATAGAACAGACCGTATATGTAAGCAACAACAATCACTTCACAGAAACCGATGACGAGTAACGATAAATTGGCGGTATACTCTTGAAGGAATTCGAATAGATAGATACCATCCTAAGAGCTATTTAAAATTGTTCAATACCATCTATATTGTAAAACAAACTCACGGGACACGTAAATGGCAGACTGATGATATAAGACATCATACAAGTAACTATGACAACATAGGTGCGACACCTTCGCAACGATGGAAACAGTTCGACAATAGCAGTTACCGGTACATCAGTGAGGACAAACTACAAAATGACATATGATTGTATGCATATGATTGTGAGACTAAATTCACTTGTGAACCGAGTGCGAGTGCGAGGATCATCAAAAAGAAGATGACAGAAAAGAAAGGACTGGCTGACATCTTTGAAAGCGCTTCAGGATAGGTAATAAATGCTAAGCCAGGACCTGAAGATTGGGCATATTTCGATACTGCTTCATCCAATGTTTTGGCCAGAAATCCAACGGGAGCAAACACTNATCTGCACTTCGCTCACTTGAGCTTGAATATTACTGTAATCATTCGCACTTAGCAACTGTCGTTACTCTTAATTGGACATTAACATCATTGACTTTGACATTTTATGATTTACCTCATAAGTTATCAATCTATTGTGTTTTACATGTACTTCGTATCTATCGTGTATTGCAACGCCTATGTATACGTATATCAATTCCTACTCGTCCAGATATTCAATATGCATAGTAAGTTTTTATAAAATGATATAACAATTGTCGATGTTTTAATTGAAATACTTTTAACGATCATGTAGAACTCACTAGCTTTGTAAATACAGAATTGTTATTAATATTAGATAGATGGATTTTGGATGAAACTGTATTGAAGTTATTGAAACAAATGATATTTTTATTTAACCCGAATCTGTACTGATGATTTCATTATTAAGTTTTATAAAAAGAAATTATTAAATTTGTAACTTTTCATCATGAAAAATTCGTCATATTTGGTAATCAATAGATTATTTTGTCAATCTATAAAACAAATTATTTTGTAACAGAAGTTTCGAGTTCTTAAATCATAAGATTGTTATTTTAATATAAGTAGATGAAAAAACAAATATTAAATTACAATGTCATATGTTCTATAATTGGCAGAAAAAATGAATTAAGAGGAAAAACGAAACATGAAGTTATTCATTCTATTTAGTGCATCGATTTTACCAACTGCTTATTATAATAATCTACCTGTATTACCATGTCTCGAATATTTCGATTTACAAACTGAGACAATGTGCGACATTCATTCATTAAGTCTTATTCTTCGTTGCATGCCCAATCTTCACCAATTCATTTTCACCTTTATATCGTCTCATGAAATTTCTCTTTATATTGACGATATGCTCGATGGTCATCAATGGCAGCAAATGTTGACAAGTTATGTATCGCATCTAGAAACATTTGATTTTCTCATTGGCTTATTTTATACACGACCAATACTAAACATGGATTATATTGTTCATTCGTTTCAATATTTTGTTGCACATTATGATGGCTGGCATATGACGATCGAACATTCACGATTAATCGCTGACGAATCAGGTGAAATAACAAAAGATATTATCTAGCTAAATAATTTTTAACTCGTATGAATATCGTTTAGAAGATTAGGTTAGTTTACGAACTTTAACATATTCAATGAATAGACAAGAAAATGTTTCTGTAGAATCAAATATTCTTCTTGGAACATTAGATGTACGATCGACATTAATAACAGATGCTCAATATCATAATTTTCACAATCATAACAGAAAATTAGAAGTTATTATACCATTAAATATGGTGCTAACTGGTAATCTGCCATCTTTTCCACCATTTCAAAATGTTCAGCATCTCATTGTCATATTTCAAATGTCAACATCAACATTATGGGAAAATATATGGAAGCTAGGTAAGGGAAAAATATTTCCCGTATATTTTAATCTTTTTCTTTAGTTTCAATACATGATGATGTGAATGATAAATGATTCAAAGAATGTGTTAATATATTAATGCATCTTGTTGATTTATCTACTATAAAGAAATTAGATTTTGAACCAATGAATAATTTATCTCAACTTCATTGTATTGAACAAATCTTATTGTAAGTTTAATTATTTTGTTTATTTTTATTATGTATTTCTTTTGAGATCGTCAAAACGTTAAGTATAATCATAATATATTTTGATACATTTTCAAGTTATTGTTTTGAGTTTTACATTTTCGCATCGTTTTTCGATCCGTAAGAGATAGGTCTTAACGAGACTTACTAATTATAGAAGTTTCACGTCTTTTGACTTGCTTCTAGACTGGAAGAAGAACATAAAATCTGCTGTTTGATTTGAGTGATGTAAAAGACACATTATTACCATAGTTCTATCTTAAGAGAGAAAAAGCGATAAAATTTAAAACTTCTACAATAAACTCTTCTCGTTAAGATGTATCGCTATACAAAGTTTCAAGTCGAAATTTGAAAATTAATTTTTCTGGTGTTTCTAGAGGGGAACCACGCCATTGATTAAAAAAAGATATCATAACTGACTACAAACCCTTTTTTGCAAAAAACGTTTTAACGACTTTTCTCATCAGCAGAAAATCACTGGATTAGCATAACCTTTGAAGCATATTACCGACAATAAATATCTATTATACTAATGAAGAAGATTTAAAAACTAAATAAATTTTATGAATTCAAGGAACACATTAAGTATTCATTTTTCAATAATTAATTTTTTTTTACTTTTTCTATAGAGTATGTTCAAATATGATTCAGCTTAGGATTGGTACTCAGTTGTTTTTGTCTCCGATCTTATTCGATAATCCATCTTTTACTTTCATTTTGAGTCGATTACAATGACTTCAATTATTGACGGAGATGTCGATGAATTGGAATTATTGAGAGAAAATATTTATTTTCCTTTAAAACATGCATCAAAATTAATTCAACGTTGTCCATCACTTATCGATATTGAACTTCAAGTATATTCATTCGACACATGTATACATCTTGTTGATATTCTTCTTGATGGTTTTGCCAATTTGCTTCATCTCAAAATATATTTTACTAACGATACAATACTTGATAATCCATATTCACGTAATTATGTTATAGAAAAGCGTCGTCAAGCGTTTCCACGTAGCATTTTTAATGCAGATCGAGTTGTTGCTAAAATCACAGACAATCATTGGAGATTTATCTGTAATGATTTGTTATTATGTGTTAAAAGAATACCAATAAATTGATAATATATTTAACGAATGAATTGCATAGTGAGAAATCACTCCAGTAAAAGCAAGTCTAGTAAAATAACAGTTTTGACTGATGATTTTATTTTTGATTACGTGACAATTCTGAAAAAAAGCGATTTTGAAATGCTTTTTTATCCAAGTACCTCAGCAAAATTATTCAACAAAAAATGGTTTTCCTGACGTTGGCAACTTCAACATGTGTCCGAAGTTGACGTTCAGTAAAACATGAAAAATACAGGTTTTATGAAGCATTAATTAATATATATTAGCTTCATTAGTTTTCAATGAAACATTGTGTGTAGAAGGACCTATCCACCATGTATATAATGTCCAAATTACAAGGCAATCGGACGTTCGATTGAAGAAATATCAAACAATTACTAAGTGCCGTAATATTGACATAAAATACAGCATAAAAAAGTCACTGAATATAGCTGAATTTTGAAATTAAAATTTGATTTCCTTTACAGAGTTGAAACAGATCTTTTTGTTATCAATAGTATATATAAGAAGTGTGAGTTGTGTACGAAGAAAAGATCATTTTTAAGATATTGCAAAAAACGAATAAATGGTCTTCTTCAAACTCTATCTCGACTTATTTGACATTGTTCTATCTTCAACAAGTATGTGTTTTTCTTTTATATTAGACTTCCATTAAACATAGAGATGTATTCAGAGGTGGATACTCATGCAGATTTCGTTTTAAAAATGATTGCATTCAACATTATCGGCTTTCAAACATATCTATTCACTATAAGGGACCCCTCCCTTTCCAAGATTTCTCGGAAACGGCTGGACGAAAAATGATGAAACTTTCAAGGCATACAGATTTCGATAAGTAGGGCAAAAGTTATCATAGACTCAAAGTTTCCAGATGATTCTTTCAAGAAGATATGGGGGTTGTAAAGGTCAACAAATCACCTGATATTCTTTTTCTTCTCCTCCCTCGAAATTAAGCATTTCATTTTTTTCGAGCTGCATTTCTTCTTATGACACCTAGAATATGTCAAAAAACGTGTCTTTTTCAATGTTTTCTAATTTGTTCGTCTGCCAAATATCATAGAAACAATATTTTGAAGAAAAAAAAAACACCCACTCCTATTCGACCAAATCACTCACAAAAAAAGGAAGAAACTTTGTGTTATTCGTATAAAAGTTGATTTTGAGAAAAGTACAAAACAAACCTCTCTGCATATATCAGGACTTTCTTTCTTCAACTAAAATGATCAAAAATTCGTCGTGCTCAGCGTAGTTAGAGATCATTGACCTATGCTTGCAGCACGAGTTTTTCTGATAGCTATTTTCCGAGAATACTTTAATAAAAGTACTAACTAACAATGAGGAGCCCTCATTTATATGGCATTTGACGAAACAGTATTAGCAATAAAAACCAAGAATTAAAACAATTGTTAATTTTAACGCTCGAAACTGGAGAAATCTCCTTAAATGAAACTTTGCATAGATGGTCGATTCATGGAAGTACATTAATTTAAAAAGTTGTACATCTCCATACCTTACCGTTCAGATGATTCCCAGAAATCAAATTGTAGAGCTTGGGTTACTTTCATTTGAACGAGAACTTCTTACGACTTCGGATGAGGAAAAACGTTTTTTTTTTAAATTTTAACTCAATTTAATTTTTCGGATATGGTTTTCTAGAAAACTCACGGTACATCTAGGATTGACCATTTATTAGAAAATCCCTTTCCCTTATCCGAAACATTAAAGTAAAATTTGTCCAAAGTTGGATCATTACCGAAAAAATAATTTAAAAAAAAATCAAAAGAACTTTTATTTTTTATGTAGTATTTCTATTATTACTTAAAATGGAGATGAAACATAAATACATTACATGTAAATCAAAACATCTGTCTATATGCATTAGATAATTCTCATACGAGATAGATCACTATATATGATTCTACCTACTGTTGCCTTTCTGTTTGTTATACCATTCAACAACGTAATAAAGACAGAAGAATAGAAATATTTCTTGCTTTACAGTTCTTTTAAATGTTGATAGAGGACGAATGTGAATGAAGAGAACATCTTCATCCATTCTTTTACTGATTGCTCTAGATATGATCAGTTGTTCAGTTATGTTCAACGATCATTCATATATAATCTGAAAAAATCTTCGAGAATCAAAATTATCTTCAGACAAAATATTCATATGTTTATCTAAAATATTTTATTTTTGACGAAAAATCAAGTTTTCTTAGAACAGAAGCCTTAATCAACTTCCTGTGTAAAATAAGTGGCGGTCAGAATTTATGTGCGCGAGAAGAATAGACATTGGCACATACTATATAACTTCTGCTGTTTATAGTTGACAAAAAATAAAAAAATCTATCTTGTTTATTGTTCTCTTTTTTCATTTTTTTTTAAATAAATTCAAGAGATGATATCCTCAGATGACAATTTTGAATTTAGCTTCGGCTATTGAATTCAACCATCTGGTCTTTATCGATCTTAAATTTCTACTACTCTATTTTATAATTGAAATAACATATAAACATTTCTTTAGTCTACAGCATTACGAAATAGAAGAATATGACAATAGTATATTAGGAACGCAATCTCTACAATCAAAGATTTAGTATAAAAAATCGAATTTAAAGAAATATGACTGCATTATATATCATCATCGTTATCATTAGGTTGATCTAGGTTCCTCAATCTCACGTTTATCTTTTTGACATGCAGATCAAAAGAAAATGTCTTCCTGTATTTTACTGTCTATCTTTCTTTTTTCTTGTGAGCTTGCTGTGTGGTTTTCTATTATTATTGTTGTTTATTTGACTTCATTATTGTCGTGATTCCTATTCATGCTTTCCCTTTAGTTTAACTGAATTTCCGGTTTAGTATAAGCAACAAGTAGATTACATTTCTTCCTGATCAAGCAAGGCGGCACGTAAATCTTCATATCCGGATACATTTTGATGTTTTTTTTAGCGTGAACACAATGACTATACAAGAAACACCCCATTGCAACTTCGTTCTAATATAATATGCTAATCAGTACAGTAAGCATTTATCATACTAAACAAACGTGCTGTATATAATTGCCTTATCTACATCGTATTGTTAAAAAGAGTCTTAAATCCATTATTAAATACTATACAATAGTATATAATGTATAATTCTTGTTGAGTCATTTCTACTACTATGACATTTTTTCACACTCCAATATCGTTGTAAGGCAAATTCTGAAGAATATATTTCCTTTTTTTTTCTATCGTCTATTAGAATTGCTTTTCTTTTTTAGTAGTTTAGAATCGTCATTAACTCTAATGGAATCCACGTACGTTTCTGTGAAGAAAATTGTAAATATAAGTTTAGACTAAGATTTTTTTTTGGGCTCTTTCTCAAGATCTAATCACCAAGATTAAAGGAAACAAGTCGTTCTCTCTCAACATATGCATCCACCACTTCTTATTAATGGAAAAATATAATAGACGATAATAGCAACGCTTCTATTTCCCTATAACTCTCTATTAAATCATTCGAAACATATCTTGAGTTTTTTAATATTCTTAATAGTTTTGTATGTTTGATCCGTAAATGATCTTATTATAGATGTCAATCTCGGATAGCTTGTTCTATATCAGTTTACCATAATCGACATAAGATTGCAACAAAACAAAATAAATTGATTTCGTTCTAAATTTATGCAAAACTATTTCATTGGCAATTTAAATTAATGAAAGACAAAAGCAGGAAATAAATACCAAATGCATATCTCAACAAGACAAAATCAACGATAGAATCGCAACACAAAATTAAACAAAAATATTTACATATCTAACATACAAAACATCCGAAACCGACTTCATGTCCCACAAACATGGGTAGATCTATAGAATGATTAATTCTTACATAAGAAAATACTAACTACAGTCATCATATTTTTTTATCTGTAAGAATGCTATTTAGTGGATGAGACGATATAGGATGAGTGTAAAAATGCTTGAATGCTACTACTTACATGTAATAAACTTTATTAGAAATGATTTTAATTAAAGAAAAAATAATAAACATAAAATAATGTAATAGAAAAAAACAGAGGAACTAATAATTTCTTTTTTTTTCTGTTACTATTTCTATTTTAATTTTTCCAGCATTTTTATTATAGACAAAGGAGTAAATGAACTGAAGCAAGAAAAGGTGATAATGAATAGGAACACAAGTATGTCAAAAATAGAAGAAAATATTTATATACAAGTTCAACGTGATGTTGATGTAGAGAATTTTCTTTTTTTTCTATACGTCGTATCTAATTGCTATATAAATATAATAGAAGAACTTTGTAAACATTATTTTTCTTTGAGATATATTTGTTAAATTACATTCCAAGTAATAATTCGTATGTTTTTCAATACTATTTGCCTTTTTTTTTTTGTTAATACATATACATTTAACAATTGTTTATTACATCAATATTTACACATAAGTATATAATTTATTTATTCATTGGATTTATGTAGTACATTTTGAGAATACAAAAAAGCCTGAGAAAATCAATCAAATCTCATGAGTATATGCTTCATAATCTTACTAGTATCGAGATACGAATTTATCTTACTTTAATAATAAGAGTAAAAATCTATTTAACTTGTCTCTAGACAAATCTTCGATAAATTGAATTTGTTTCATGCGTAAATTTTATATAAATTTACATAGAATCAATCAGTGTCAATTTGACCTAAACTCAATACGTTACATTTTTTTCTATTGCTTCATATTAAATTATTCCTATCATATAATTAGAAGTACAAGACAAAGATTCTATCATTTTCTTCTCATGGATTACATATAGGTAGAAGAAATACATTCAAATTTATATTATGATAAATTATACAAAATAAAAAATCAAATTACAATATCTAGGCATGAGATTGACAAGCGTAGTTTTTGCTCGTCATTTTTATCAATTTATGATAAAGTTAAAATGCATATACGTCTTGTCAGTTAATCAGGATGGATGAACGACT